AGAGCTTAAGCTGACATTAATAAAAGTCACAGTTACTTACTGCTGTTTCTTAATACAATGAGACCGACGCCAGATATTACGCCCCAAGGGTCAACAGTTATTGTTTTGTCATTTTTTTTATCCCAGCAGATCATATTTAATTGTGTCTTTTTGGCGAAATGCAGAGTAGGTTTATGTATTAAGGGCCAAGGACAACAGTCTCAATGGCAATGACGTGTGCCCTGTCTAGATGCTGACCTCTAGGTAATCCATAAACATTTCACACACACACACACACACACACACACACACACACACACACACACACACACACACACACACACACACACACACACACACAGAGTCCAATCCCCTTTTCCCTACATGAGGCGTGAATGCGCCAATTGGATTACCTCTTGGACTGTGAGGATCTTTCCTTTGCAGATTATAGCACTTGATAGTGGCATAACAGCGTGATCCTCTTTAACAACAACAAAACCCTTACAAATGAAACCGAGCCAATGAGAGACACCAAAGTGCATTTCAAAGAGCAGAGATCTGTAGTGAAAAGAGATTGCCTGTGACCACAGAAAAACCCAAGCTCAGATAGGAAGAAAAATAGCTCCCTTCTTCCCATGAAAGCTTTTTTCCACCTGGTTAAACCCCACAATCTATGATGTGAGCAGAACGGTGAAATCTGCTCTCCAAAGAAGAGACAGGTGAGTTCAAAGTAGGCCTGGCGCTGCAGGAGAGCGGTAATCACGGCAGCACAGGATGTTCTGCCGTGACAAATGGAGGCCACAGTCCCAGAAACACCATCTCTCTCTCTCTTAATGGCTGGAATATGTGTTGTTACGATGAGGCATTAACACCTGCAACGTGTCTGATTGCTCCATCCCTCCATTTGGGTTGCTCATCTGGCAGAGAGTTTGCAGATGTACTCAGAGTTGGCAAGTGCTCTGTGTTGGCGGCCTATTGCTGAGCGACCTTTAGGCTGGCCGGTTGAATTGACAAGTTTGTGAAAAGGTTCTGCTCTCTTGCTGACAGATCCTTGGGATAGCTGACACTGACGCACACCGGAAAGCAAAACAAAGACAGAGAGAGGACGAAAGGACGAGAGGCTTGCTTGATCTTAATAGTGTTTGGTTTCACGCTGTCTTGTTGTTTAAAAGTTATGACAGCTCAGACGGAGCATAACACCAAAGTTATAGCTGGTAATTGGTAAGGGCAGAAGGTTCCCTGTGTGTGACCAGTGATATGTCCTATCCAATCTTAATGAAGAACCGTTAAACTCAAACTCAGATCATCGATTGCTTTCACTTAAAGATAACCACAGCTTGTTCCACAACAATCTCCCCTGTTTTTTCTCTTCACACTTCGTCACTCCAACCCTGCGGTGGTGTGAGCGTGCTTCTCAAAAGTGTCAGAGTTGACTTGCTCTGGCACCCCTTGCCATCTGGCCTCTCCCCACTGTGGTGATACAGACATCAGTGAATGACAGCGTGTGAAAAGCCGCGTGTGGATTTAGACAGATTGTGCATCAACAATAGCTCATAACACGGAATATCTAATCAGCCTGGCTCCATTCTGCATTGTTTTTTCTCAGTAGAAGGGTTAGAGCAGCAAGAATGTGAAGAGGGCACTCGAGGACTTTCTGTTCCCAAGGCTGTCACTTCAGTGATTCGCAGGCAGCAGTGTTCCACCTACAAAATGTGTACTTCAGCAGAGTTCCTTTCTTCTCTCTTTTCTTCTGTCTGTTAGTGTCTCTCTTTACACTCTCATTATAGTTAATCAGCGCATACAGATCTTCATTTCAGCGCCCTCCCCAGAGCTGTGGGCAATACTGATGCTAACATAAAATAAACTGCTCAATGAAAGAAATGTATTGACATTTTAGTGAACAGGCTAATCTGATTTCTGGGTGAGATTTAGATGAGAGGATTCATACTTGGTGTTATGGCATTGTGTGTTCAATGTGGAGCTTCCAGCAAGCAGCTTGGTATCTTAGCATGTTTGGAAACAACCAGTCTGTCTGTGTAAAATAAACAAGTATTTGAAGTGCCTCTAAACCTCACTCAATAACACGCCATGTCTTCATTGTTAAATCCGAATAAAAAACAGTATGAGGAGTAAAACAAGAAATTTGAATCTGGGTGTTTTAAAGCTGTTTCAAGTCTTTAGGCCAAACGAACAGGTTGCTGCCAGACACAGCCAGTAAGAGTTTCACAAACACGTCGTGTATTGACCAAACTTTCAAACTACACCATTGTAAGGACAGTTTCTAGGAGTTAGCAGCACTGTTGCGGTAACAAGCTGCAGAATGCTTAACCATGCTAACGCTCACTCAGATGCCATCATTATGAAAATATAACTTTAAAAGTAATGCTGTTTAGTCGCTGTTTGCCTTTACAGCAGCGACTGAACAGAGTTTTATAAATATGACAGATATCTAGGCCGTAAGATAACATAAAACTCGAAAGGCCCAATCTAGAGCCAGAGTTATCTCTATCTGTTCTGAGCTACTTTAGCAACCGCACAGAGCAACATTGCGGACTCCGTGGAAGAGGACCCACTCCTTGTTCAGGTATATTAGGCTCATCCTAAACTTATGAAAACCCAACAATTCTCAATCAATTTAATTAAATTCTACGAATAGATTCTTCCAAATCTTACAAACTGAGCATTTGAACCAAATACTTAGTTCTTGTGACTGAAGGGTCAAGTCCCATTTGTCCTTTTTCCTATCCATTCATTTTGCCATCTCTCCCAAACTGTCATTCCTTCTGAAGACCAAAGCATTCTCTCCATAATTATTATCTATGATTATTTCTTTCCGTTACAGTCTCAGCAGTAAGTTTCTCTTTCTCCCACGCTCTGACTCCTATTTTGTTGCGAACACAGCTAACGGCCTTCACCCCCCCTGTTTTACAATCTCATGTTCCCTCTCTGCTGCTGGAACAGTTTGATTTGAATGCAGAACTGCAGCTTTCTCAACCTCGGTGCAGCTGCGGGCCTTCTCTTAGATTATTTTGCTTTCCTTCTTTAAAAAAGGAGAAGAAGAGGAATCTCCACACTTGACTTGACTGAGTAGTGCCGAGAGCTACTTGGCCTTTCGGCTTCACCCAGCACATCATCACACGGACAGTGAGGGCGAGGAAAGATAAAGGGAGATTGAGTAGCGATAGACAGAGCTCAGATCAAGGTCCCGGCGGACGCCAGCACTCCCACTCTCTTCATGTTGATGACTCATGTTTACATTTCTGTCAACCAGGCAAAGATGGAGCACAGAGACATTCTCACCTTCTAATACGTTCAAAAGAAAGGTTTGCTTTGTGACTTGAGGAAAAAACATCTACATTTCCATCGGACAAAGCACAACGTAAACAAAACGCCCATTCGTTTTGATGCCACAAACAGATGAATTAAAATGTGGAGTACTGGATGACGTTATCTTGAACAATGTGGTCCTTTTAATATAAAATAAGAAATAAAAATAAGAGTAGAAACTCAAAGGCACAATCAGCATTTTGTTAAAGGTTTGGAGTGTAGGGAAGACTCCTAGGAAGCACAAGGGGATAACACTCATGGACTTGAGTCTAATTATGTGTATTCCTTTAATTTGCACAATTTCATGATGTTTCTCTACTGTTAATCCTGCTCACCACAGTTATTAATTATGAGCTAACTTTGTCAGACTTTGAGTGATAATGAGGCTGGATTGGTGAGGTTCTCAATGTAATAATTTAGCAGAATTATTTATTATAATGCCTAGTTTAGCTAAACAACATTCTGTATTAGATGACATATCCTTGGTCAAACCTCCATGTTTAGTGTTTCGTGGTTAACTGAAGTTTAATATCATAATTAAAAACCTGCAAATGAATGTTTATATCTTAGCATTCAAATTACACATTCTTAACAAAATGCCATTGTTACATGCCACCTGCCATTCAATAGTACGTTTCTTGACTAATTTCATTGCTTAAAGACTCTTAAAAAAGTCTTGATCGTGATCAAACTAACTGTGGTGGGCTTTCGGCATTGTTGCTATGACTACAACCTCAAATCAGACAGTTTTGAAGAACTGGAAAATTCTGATTTGGGCCAAATTATCCAAAATCTAATCAAGCCCCCTACAAATATCCTTGCGCAAAGAATGAGGCCCTTTAATTAGCAAAAGGGAAGGAGAGCTGAAATGTTTCCAGTGCACTGACCTACAAATGGATCACCTCAACCGACCCAGCTCTCATCGTCCGCCTGCCTGAGTTAAGCCCAAAGCAGACAGTAACTCGTCCTTTCTTATCTCACTTAACCATCACACTTCTCAGTTGTGGCTCCTGAAAGCATCTGCAATTCATACTTGGTAGAGTAACATATCAAGCCCTGACATAAGCAGTGACAACTTTTACAGGCTGTAAAATATCACTCAGCGTCGCCTTGATTGTAAAACATTTAGACAAACCACAAAGGAAACGGCTCTAAATGTTGCTGCAGTGACGTTATAATGAGCCTTTGGAGGAGTTCAACACATCTGTCAATTGTCAAGAGCCACCGCCCATAAAGGTCAAGGGAATTTTTCAGAGCGAGAGCACGTCAGCTTTTTAAGCTCCAGCAACTGATTGAACTCGTGGGTGTCTGCTCAATTGAATGATGGCCCTGAAAACTGGATGGGTATAGAGACCATTAACTCCAAAAGTATAGAAATGAAAAAACAGGCCATGAAGAATGGCACTCATTCTGGATTCTATGGAGCTGAGCAAGAGGGCTGTGTCCATCTAGTGTCCAGACATGGTAATTGAAATGACATTTACATGAAAATGAAGTATGTTACAAAATGTATGTGACAGGAAAGTGGTGTGGTTTCCTGAGTTGAAAATACAAGCAGCTGTGAGAAAATGTGTGACTCTCAGCATGACTTCACTCTTTCATTATTACCATAGGGCTATGCAGTAATGTGCTAATAATGTGTAATACAAGAAGCACTTATGTAAAGTCACAAAACAATAAGGGGAAATAATAAGTATTTTCTGGTTTTAACCACCATTTTATTTGGCATAATTTAAAAATCATTTCACTGTTAGTTCATTTATACAAATATGCTTTTGTTATATATAAAACAATTACAAACAGATTTCTACAAATCAAGTTCCCAGTGTAAAAGCGTAGTACCACGCACACGGTAGCATACAGCTCACAGAAGGGAGCCCACAGGTGTACGTTCCACTTCAACAGCATCATCCGAGTGAAATCAGGACAAAGAAATAAGCTCACCACAATCGACAGGTTGACATTGTGCACTTACGTTCAACCCTCCACACACAGATCTGGGACATTCTCAAACATCCTTTGGCAGATCTCAAACCGCATCACCGTTGTTAAACACATCTACTGCTCGTGTCGCGTCTTCTGTTAATTTAGACTTTACAGGCCACAATAAAGGTTTACTCATTATTCACCCAGCTCGAGTGAGAAAAGGAAAATAACTTCAGTAAAAGGGTTGCTGTTATTACTGGCAGCTGAAAGCACAAAGGAGCAACCAGTCATTACTAAAAAAATAGATTATAAAATGTATAAAAATCTTCAGATGTGGCAAGGCACGTTCCACCAACGCAGCTCTTGCTAACCGAATGTGCAGGTCGTGCTTGTGCCTTGCCCTCACTTGCGGTACGCAATGCAGGGATGTGAACCACATTCTGTAAGAGCTGCGGGCCTCCAGCTCTGTTTCACAAATGCATAGACTTGCAGAGCGAGATGTCAGTTTAGCACCTGTGTCTTACAAAGAGGGCTGCAGGAAGAATGTGTTTACTGGCAGAAAGCTTTTTTAAATTACAAAAATGAAACCCAGAGGTGGTTCAACCTGGATTTGAAAGGTTGTGTGGCACTTGCGTCACCCTGGAGCTTTAAGCTTTGGGTTGAAAAGGAGCAAGACTATGGTCTTTGGTTTGGATAAGGCACCTGACCAAATAAAAGGCTCCATAAGTATTGTGGATAAACTTCTGGTAAATGGTAGAAGAATCAACAAGGCAGCTACAATGTGTTGCTTCTTCCCAGATGAAATCATTATTGACCAACCAAAACAATATAGTGAAAAAGGCTGGTGTATAAAGCCTAGCTAAGCCAGTTAAAACATATTCAGTTATTATATGCTGTACTGAATTAATTAGGAAGTGGTCATAAGTCTGTTGACCTTAAATGTAAGGCTATAATGTAAAGGACAAAGGGAGCATTATGGAGATGTGGTTTATCAAATATGAGTATTAACTACACACAACATCATACTGATCAAATAAACATAAGCTATTACAAAAAATATATATTCAACTTTGGCCATAACCGCACTCGTGGGTTAAAAACACTTGAGAAAAAAAATCATTTACAGAGTAAATTCAACATAATTAGACAAAATAAAGTCTCTTTGACCCACTCGGTCAAAAAGGAAATTCTTAGGCATGTTTTAATGGCACTCCGTGTGAGGCTCAAGAGTTGGGATGGAGACAGAGAAGCTGTACTACAACCTGACTCCCTGATATGCCAGGTTGAAAAATCCTGTACCAATGTGGGTTAATTTGGCAGAGGCCTTATGACACCTGCTCCTCTATTACTGAAGAGCGCAAATGGTTGGCTGCTTTCAACGGGTACAGCTTATCTTCAAAGGCCTACTGACTCTTCCATGCATGGCAGTGAGAGAGCAGTGCAAGAGGGTGGAAGGGCAGCCTGCCAAAACAGCTCTAACATGCCAGACTGAGCACAAGAGGGAATTGCAGCTCCAGAATTTAACCTCTAATCTGTGCATATTGGTCAAGGGGTACTGGCAATTGTCCAGGAGTCATCACACTATTTCTGGACTCAAGCTGCTTGAAATTAAAACGTGTTCACCCTCTACTCATTACATCTAAATATGCAAGCATTTTGTTGGCGACTTTGCTTGAGACTCGTGAGATGCAACCTAGGTGAGAGTACGAGGTAGTCATTATTTCTCCACCTAAAACAAAAGGCAGATCTCTTCTCTCCAGTCAAACAGGGTAGCTTGGTTGGTTGGTTGGTTTGGATGTTGTTATGGCTTGAAACAACCTTGATCAGTATTTTACAAGGCAAAGCAGAGAAGCTATAAATCTAGAACAGATGTAAAATTGGAGAAAAGTGTAAATATCAAAAGTTAAAATTGTAAGAAAAATAGGAGATTCGGTCTGTTGCCCCCATTCTGGCATAGTCACTTTGGTGATGATGACAACGGAGTGAAACCCTCCAGGAGATGAATAAGGAAGAGAAGAATAACAGAGGAGTTGAAAACAAAGTCTAAACTGCCAGGCGTGGTATGGAGGCAGACAGGTGACGACGTTCATTTCCTCATCCTTCCTTTGCTCCTGTGGATCTTCATCATCCCTCTCTACAGTCCAAATCTGGGAACCATTTATTACAACAGCACACACTTTTTCGGGTTCTTTTTCGTGACTGGATACAACACTGCCCTCACAGCTTCAGCAAACACCTCCCTGACACCATCCTGCAGCAGAGCAGAACACTCCATGTATTTAACAGCCCCAATCTGCTTGGCCAGGGCGTTTCCCTGCTGCTGGGTGGTAGGAGCCAGGCCCTGCTCCTTCAGCTTCTTCACCGTTTCGGCATCGCCCCTCAGATCCCTCTTGGTGCCCACCAGCATGATGGGTACGTTAGGGCAGTGGTGGGACACCTCAGGGTGCCACTTGTGCCTGACATTGGCATGGGAAGAGGGGCTGCCAATTGAAAAGCAGATGATAAAAACATTGGTCTGGGGATAAGAGAGTGTGCGCAGGCGGTCATACTCCTCCTGGCCCGCTGTGTCCCACAAGTTGAGGCTGACAGTGCGGCCGTCTACGCTCATCTGAGCGCTGTAGTTGTCAAACACGGTTGGAATGTACTCTTCGGGGAAGGCATTGGTGGTATAAGAGATGAGCAGGCAGGTTTTACCGACTGCCCCGTCACCCACCACCACACACTTTATGGTCTGCATCCTGCCTACGACCACTGGGGCTGCAGCACCTGACAACAGAAAAAGCGCACCTGGGTGACTATTTATTACAATCTTTATGACTTGAGAGGCCAATACAGGCTTTTTAATAGCAGTGACAAGAGGGGTGATCATTAATCATGAAATGACAAAGGGTAAAAGGACCGGGGAGTAACTTTAAGGCAGCAGTTTTACAGGAATACAGTTTACACTATTAGCAGAGGAGCTAACCACCGCGAACGTTAGCTCATCGACGTAATTAACGTAACATGGGATAGCTACCATTTCAGACGTCCGCTAATAAACAAAGTTTGGAAAGTTTACATAGATTAGTTAACTACCCTCCTCGAACAAGGGACAACGAGTTTATCTCAGTAAGGAGCTTATTTAACGTGTTTATTACTTTACACTGCTCGCCTATGATACTAGGCGTTCCCCCGGTGGCTAGCATCAAGCTAAGGAACTAGCACATTTAGCCGCTAACAAGCTAGCTAGTTAGCAAACAAGTTGGAAGTTTATTTGCAAGCTACTTCTTCAAAAGGTCTTCGCCTGGCCCGATAACTTCCCACAAGTTTCTCTAAAAATTGTTTTCTGTTCTAATATATATCTGAGGCGTAGTAAGTTTCTGTAACAGCGAAATTTAAAGGATTTTGTGACTTACCGCCACTTGGCTTTCGATCTCTTTTTGCCTGGTATAGTCAATCACAGCCGCATCCGGGGAGCTGTCCATTACGTAAAAATGACGTAAGGAAGCAATGCAGTTTGATAGTTGCAGTTTTACTGGTGACAGTTGTTTCCGTGACACTAGATGGCGTTGTAGAGCCGTTATGCTCTCTTGTGATTTTCCCTTTTACATAACAGCACTGTTTTTAGTACCTAACTCGAATTTAAAATCGGATTGTAATTGCAAGTGTGGTGAGTGGTGACTGGAAATAGAGTCAGAACAGGATAGCTTTTTATACATTCTGATCTAATTAGAAACAAAAGAAAAAGGACTGATACAGAATGGCCCCTTCTATTTGCTGTTACATTAATGGGTAGAAGCATGTTAATGTTAAACGTTTGAAATAGCTGTAGCAGTGCTTAATATTTTCTATGATTTTATATTTTATGTAGAAAATCTTAACCAGCAAATATATAACATATATTTATGATTTTGTTTCTATTCTATATATAATATAGAATTGTAAAAAAAAAAAAATGTATGTGTTTCTGCTCTATGCTTAAGACCAAAGCAAATTCTTTGTAAACCTACTTGGTAATAAACTGAGTGGCTAAAAAATGGAAATACTCAACAATTGTATTTCAAAACTGTAGTAGAGCACTTGAGTAAATGTACTTTGAAAAACGTGACCCACAAATCCATGCCTCTCTTCAAAGTAATCTAACTGCCAGATTTATAAAAAAAAGGATATTTTTTCCTTCAACAAATGGCAATTATTTCCTTTGCTAATGGTTTCAAAGATATTGTCAGAAAACTTTATTTTCAATTAGTTTGACCTACAATTTGACTGCAAATGAGGGATACTGCTCCTTACCTTTACCAGTCTGTTGACATATTAAATGAGTCTAAATGTATTGATTCTTAAAGACTTTAACCTTTCTTTTGAACTTGCCCCATTCTCACCAGTGGGTCACTGTTTAAGCTTACATACCTCACTTACAAAGGCTGTAAAACAATCCTGTGACCTGGACCATATCCTCTATTTTGGTCAGCACTGGTCTAAAAGCCCATATATCACTTATTCACCTTCAGACAAGTCATTATTCTCACTCAGCCCGTGCTTTCAAATCAATGCAGAATACACGAAGGTAGCTAAAAGAGAGACCACTTTAGACTGCTCTGTCCTGCACCCCTGGAGACCTGTTGATGATGTCAGCCCTATACACTGAGGTAGGTTAAGGGGCAAGCGCTGGCCGACAACCGGACACTCAAGAAAACAAAGAGGCACCGGTTTATTGCCTTTCCCAAGAGGTTCTGGCGTCACTGCAGCCCTATAAAGAGAGCATTCCCACTGGGACCCTACACCCACAGTCACCCTCCACCCCAACCCTTGCACCCCACTATTCTGCCAGCAGATTCCCTGGGACGTCTGTAGCATTTCCATGACAACAGCCACTGACAGAGATGGGGGTGACCGTGTCAAGAGATGCAGCAAGTGGGAGTTCAGAAGAGAGGGGGAGAGAAGAAGTGTGACTAGAAGACGATGAGAAGATGCAAGAGCAGAAGTTAAGGAGTGTATACCTTGAGTGAAAGCTCTCATTTGAATCAAAACCTAAGGAACAGATGTTACATTATATCAACAACACAAGTACGGTTTAATTCAACTGATGAGTGCCTTTGCAATTGATTAGAAACTACTATTCAGTACAGTCTTTATTCGTGTTTCGTTTTTTATAAATCCAAATAATACAGTGAATAACAACAAATGCTATTCAATAAAGTTATATAATCTTTTGATACATAATAAAAAAAGGACAAACATTACAGTAACCATCCCCCCATGGCCTCTTCTTTAGTTTGTAAAGTGCATCAGAACAATGTGGCCTCAACAAGAGGATAAACAGTTCAATATTGTACCGAGTTCAGCTGCACTGTAAGACAGCCAAGTGGGAATCAACAACAATCACTTAAAGAAGGGGTCACAGTATTCAAAACTTTAAGACAAATCTACTTGTTTCTAACAGTTTTCAAAATAACTAGGCACAGAGTGATGTCACTTGGCTGTGTTTTTCTGCTTTTCTATAGATTTAAGATAGGGGGTCTTGTGGTGTCCTATCGCCTGCAAAGGACACAAATAGGTTACATAAGAGGTAGGATTTATTCTGCTATAAGGTGAAGCACATTAGATTAATGTTCCCCAAAGCAACCAGTGCAGCTCCCTCTCATCTACATACACATTTCATACAAATTGAATATAGAAAACTCAGAGATGCTTAAGACCAGAAAGCTGACAATGCCCACTTGAATAACATCACACTGTTTATATCAGACTGACATCCATAAAGGCAGGATAGTGTATTCACTCCCATCACCTCCACTGTTGCGAGGCTGCTGTAGCTCGGGGCATTTTGGGTCCAGGTATCCGTGAAGTTGCAGGGGCTTTAGGGCTCGCAGGGGAGGGGCTTGTGCTCGTCGTCTTGGCGGTTTTGTTTCGGGCGGCAGATATGACAGCTGTGCGTATGTTCTTTGCCGTGGCAGAGGAAGGGCTGTGGGCAGTGTGAGGCTGGGAGGGCGTCCGAGCCTCAGAGTTTGAGGCGACTCGTTTTGACATACGGAGAGGGGTTCCTCTGACAAATGCTGGCTGCGTGCTATCTGAGCCCTTCTCCGTTACAGATCTGTCTGAAGTCCTGCGGGTTAAGGTTGGCTTACCTGGAGTCTGTGTCTCACTTATAGTTCTCTCCTGTGTGCTTTTACTGCGTTTCACTTCTGTCTGAACAGCGGCAGGCCGAGTGATAGGAGAAGAGCGCATTGATAAGCTGCGAGGACTGGACAGCCGGCTGGGCGTGGGTGTGTTAGGAGGGGTTGGGGCCCCATTTGAAGGCTCAGTTTTGGAGCGCACCCTGGGAATGCCTGTGTAATTGGAAGGTCCTGCACGTGACACAAGTCCTCTTTTGGCCCCTATTCCACTACGCACGGGGATCTTCACGGTGCGAGCCTCCTCCTTTGATGTAGGAGACCCTGGAGTTGTCCCCGCTCGGAGGTCGCCCTCCCTCTCTTTCCTCCACTTGGAGCACAGGCTCGGCGCGGGTCGTGGGAGTGGGGAGGTCGGGGGTGACAAGGCATCATAGGATCGGAGGCCTTTCACCAGTGTGTGGCACTCCAGTGTTTCACCAACACGGGAGTAAGGCTTTGACGTCTCCCTCTCAGGACTTGGCAAGTTGGAGATCACCTCTCCCTGTGATTGGTTGAAATCTGGTAGACCTGATGGAATCCAGTTCTCCTCTACAGGTGTTGATGCCACTTCTGAGTTAATGTTTTTCGTTAAATCTGCCTCAGGCAAAGGTGTCACAGCACTCGTTGTCACAGTTGGTGTCTCTCCCGTCTGTGGTTTTGACTGCACCCTCTCTGGAGCATTTACAGATGATTGTGATTGGCTCTCAGTTCTTTGGTACTTGAATGACCTCCTCCTGTTGTCACCGTGAGAAAGTATTCTATTTTGAAGAAGAGAGTGTTGTACAGACTCAACAAAAGAGTCATTAGATTTATTCTGAACTGGGCAAGTATTCTCTGTTGCTGGCAGGCCAAACCTATGCCCATGAGTGGGGGACTGGTATTTAACACAAGGGGCAGGTTTATCAGCGGGTATAGCAGCAGAGTTTGAGCAGGAGGTCGGTGAAGATTCAGTGGTCATTGAAACAAAATGTTCATGTGAAATCTCAGCTTCTTTTTCAAGTACTGTTGTCTTCGATTGGCCTTGCAGCACATAAGAAATGCTTTCAGGCGCGTGCTGCTTGACTGTGAAGCCAGGTCCATGCTGAGAGTGGCTAAAAATGGCAATGTGCGAGTCCTGAACAGCTTCCACGCTTCGGGTTGTTGCTCGGCTGTGCTGGGACCTGCTTCCTCTCCCCAGAACAGGTTCTTGGTGAATTGGAGAACACAATCCGTCCGTCTCCGGGGAGCTACAAAGCACAGTGGTGGTCTCGTGGTCAGAGGAACTGTTGGAGTGATAACTGGTCGACGTAGGACTGCTGCCCAGCTCAGGGAAGCCCTTGAGTGTGGCAATATTATGTTGATGGTTATCGTTGTGGAAGTGATGGGAGTGTTTACGGGACTCAGAGCTTCTCAGGCTACGTCGACTCCAGCTGTAGCTCAAGTTCTTCTCCAGCAGCTTCTCTAGCTCATCTTGGTTCTCCTGACTCTGAGGCTCTTTGGCGAGGCTGAGGCTCAGGTCCAGCCCCGTACAAACAGCCACAGAGCGACGCTTTTCCCCAATCTCACGTTGACGATCCAAACGTTTCTGCTCCTTCAGCTCCCGTTCGGAATTCTCCTATTGAAAATGAAAAGAAAAATTCATTTTTCAGTGACAACTAGAGTTAAATCAATACTATTTTTGAGAATATATATGTTTTATCATCAGATGTTTTAAAAAATATCTAACCTGGACAGATCTTTGGAAGCGGAGGCAAAACGAATTGAAGACCCTGCAGGCCTCCTCCAGTTTGAAAGTGCTGTCATCTTCACAGAAGAACTCCACCAGAGCCTGACTAGACATCCTCATGCCCTCTACCTCATCCTCGGCCTCCTTCAAACGCTCCTCAGCTACCTGCACACAAAGTTTACACATTCATGGCCTGAAACAAGCCATCAGAAATCTTTTAAAAGATGATGTCATTATTTCATACCTCTAGGAAATGTTGTGTATGCAGCTGGATCTCCGCCTCAGTCTGGATGTTTGCCTTGAGGGCCACCACTCTGCTTTTTAACTTAGTTAACTCCTCAAGCACAGACTCCTCACTTAACCTGCAGAGAAGTAGATGGCATAAAATATAAAGTTATTATTATAAGACCTGTATAGAGATAGCTGTGTGCATTTTATAGTAGGAAAGGCTTAATAACTAATAATATGCAATAGCAGAAATTGATAAAAAATACCCCAAAATGGGTTATAAATTAAGGCAAATGGTCCAATGTGTCCAGGAATACTTTAAAATAGACACTAAAATGTTTAAATGATTGCAACAGCATGCGTGTTATATTTACTTTTAAAGTAGAATAATGATGCTCATT